AACTGCATTGTATATATGAGAAAAATAAAAAAAGAAAAATTTAAATAGTTTTAGGACGTTACAAACATGTAAAATGATCTAATATTATCAATAATATATTCACTATTATTTAAACTGTACAATTAGTAAAAGAGATTTGGGTAAATTTTATTTTTAATAATTGCTTTTGAATGATTCGTTTTTAGCATATTTTATATATAAAATTCAATAAATGTGTCAAGTAAGGGTTTTTACGTCTTTAATTATATAAGTAAATTATGTCCTCATCAGCATTAATAAAGTGCGGTGTTTAGTTTTTGAGAAATAAGGAAGTGTCGCTTTAGAGGACCTATGTCGATATAAGCGACTTACCTCTTTACTTCTAATAAAAATATAAAAAATGTATAGTTGTATTGTCGTGAAATAAAATAAATGCGCGCGCGTAGCGCGCGCCTGTTTTGTTCTATTCGTGAAATAAAATAAAAGCGCGCGCGTAGCGCGCGCCTGTGTTGTTCTAGTCCTATATTAAAAAAGTCATTTTGACCGAGAAGTGAGCGTTCCGAGTCGAAATATCTCGCACGTAGTGTTGTCGCTTTTCCGCGTGCGTGATTGGCTGGCGCGGTTGATCGAGATTGACGGCGATCGCGAGATCGCGGCGAGTTTGGCGAGTTTCGCGTGTGTTAAATCGTGCGACGTGACGTGTGTACGTGTCGCGTGGTGTCTCGCGAGGTTAGTAGGATTTTTTATTATATATAATTCACTATTATATATAATATATGTGGATAATATTGGTAAATAAATATCTTTTAACGCAATGACGTGTGATCGCGTGGCGTCTCGCGAGGTTAGTTATATTTATTGTTTGCTCGTACAAATTTAATCTAAGGTATACGTTACAGTAACTATAGATTTTTGATACAGATTTATCTTTGAAATCATATTTTATATTTAAGCAGATGTAAGTGATAATTACTGTTTTTGCATTATGTAAAATTTGCCTTATTTTAGATAATATACCGATGAATTTAATGTTCGAGAAGATCTGATGGGATTAGCTATTGGTGCTCATGATGCAAATATTCAACAAGCGTGAAAAGTTGATGACATTACAAATATAGTTAGAAGAAAATTCATGCACATTTAAGATATATAGAGAGGTAATTATAAAAATTATTATTGCTTGTATTATTTCAAAGAGTATTGTTTTTTTTATAAAAGTTTACTGACCGGTTTTTTATCTAAAATGTATATAAATATTCGTATATATGTTGCATTATATTGAGCTGGTATACAGAGCTTATCAGATTTCTTTCTCAATCACAGACGCATGAAGCTGTTAAGAAAGACCGATCTATGCAGGAATAAAGCAGTAACCTAAAAATAGATAGTGACAGTGTGACAGTCGTGACCATCGCCACGTGATAGATGATAGTGATAGTGAAATATATATTGACGGCAGGGAGCTGATGCCGAGGAGATCTTTAAGAAGGAAGGTATATTCAAAATCGCACACGTACGTATATATGCTGTCTTGTAAAAGTTGTAAAAGTTAAGAGAACGAGAAAATCATCTGTATTTATATGCACGTGTGACAGGCACTATTGGGCACTATCGCGTAATAAAGATTTCTCCGAAGAATGTTATTGTACTTTACTTTCGTTAACTTGGATACTTCAAATGTACAATCTCGCGTCTTCAAAATATAATAATTCTCAGACACTGTTGAGGAATAATTGTCTAGCACAAGAGGTCCTCTTATAAATGTCCTCCTTTTCTCTCGTTTTTTCACACAGGACCATTTTATATTCAACTATATGGTATACAATTTTGCCGCTATATATTGACCGCAGGGAGCTGATACCGAAGAGATCTTTAAGAAGGAAGGTGTATCCAAAATTGCACACGTATGTATGTATATGCTGTCTTGTAAATTGTAAAAGTTGAAAAAAACGAGAAAGCATTCTGTAGCACAATTTATATTGTAGGCAAGTTATGCTAAAATATTTGTGAATTGAGTTCCTATTATCCATTATTATGATATAGATTTTATCAACAATATTAGAGAAGTAACGAAAATTGATTTTATTAAGTATTTAAAGCAATTGAGAGTTTTTAGCATTAAGTATTTCCATTTTCTCATAATATGCTTAAAAAATATTGCAGGGAACTTGTGAGTTATGCGAAGCAATTGATACTATTAAGGTTCATTGGTCATATGAAGTTTGCACACGTCAAGCCTGACATCCTAAAGATCACAATGCATTCTGAAAATATACCGTGCAGGTTCGTTGGCGTATACGTGGTGTCATACAGGCTGGAAGGTATTTTCTATGTTTTGGAAGTAAAATTTGGAAAATACAACATGCCACAATAAGCGCTAAACCAGGAAATGTAAGTGTAGTCAGTGCTCTAAACATTCCTTTTAATAGTAATATAAAATTGTTCTTATAAACATCAATTATAATTAATTCATTATTTGAAAAGAACTTGATTTTTAGTTTTGTTTTTTATTCTACCTTCAGAAAAAGATAAAATAATGTAGATTTCCTAAAATTAATTTTGTTTATGCTATCGAAGAGGAAACACTTATCATAAAATTGATTATAATACTAAGACAATTATATATAACGATTTCAGATGGTACGACGGCTTTTTATTTTTTACGTTAATGCTGAATGGAAAAGCCTATATGCATATTGCGGACAAGATGATGTCTTATCTGGATACAACCACGAAAAAGAAAGATATGCGCATGGCAGGGAAATTAGCGCTATTCACAGGCCTTGTAAGCATATTTAGTAACAACGAAGATTCTTTGAATTGAGCTCTGTTTTAAAATCGCATCAATTGAAGTGAATCCACTGCTGAGTGTTGAAATTATACGATTTTATCCGTCACAACGAATAGACAAAGAGGAATGCTTTTTCCAGTCGATGGTCTCGAATGTTGCTGACGTAGCTATTTCGTTGTAAATGCATCATTATGAAATGATGATCGGTAGTAAATGAGAGATATGTTGTGAATTAAAAAGATGTCTACATTACCTAAACAGTATCTTTGTATGATTACAAATTATCTTCATCTAATTTTTTAGTGACAATGTCCGAATAATTTGCGTTAGTATTTCTGTGTAAAAAAAATATGACGATTATATTACAGTATATCAGATTTTAAAATAATTATAGAGGTAGGGTGCCTAAATTGTTATCGTTCCATCCAAATGTAGCTTTTATACTATTCGGATAGTATCGATATTTTATGCTGCTTAGAAACAAGTAAAAAGCATTTTAAGACACTTGTCGTCTTAAAATGCTATCGTTTCCAAAATATAAAAACTTGTGTTTAGATTGCAGATATACGTTTTGGGTACTGGCGTATCTATTTCGTTGCAAATGTATCGTTATGAAATGGTGATCGGTAGTAAATGAGAGATATGTGAATTAAAAATATGTACATATCATCTGAATTTTTAATTTTAGTAGTGACAATGTCCGAATAATTTTGCGTTAGTTTTCCTGTGTAAAAAAAAATATGACGATTATACGATTATATACGATTATATTACAGTATATCTGAAAAATGTTAGAAAATGAAACAATTGCTTAAAGGTATCCTGTATATCATAGCATCTATTTGCTTCGCCTGTATGAAATGTTAATAACGCGTAAGATAATATAATCATTAAAGTAATATTTCTTAAATGTATATTTCATACTTAATTTTATTTCATAAATACTATCACATTTATTCCTATGAATCGTTTTCATTACGCTATTATGATTTTAACATAATTATAGAGGTAGGATGTGTAAATTATTACCGTACCATCCAAATGTAGTTTTTATAGTATTATTTATTGTATCGATACTTTAAGCTGTTTATAAAAAAATAAAAAGTATTTTAAGACGAGAGAAAGATATAGAGATAGAAGAAGAAGAAAAGAAGGACAAGAGAAGAAACAATATAGAGAAAGGTATAATATATTATAAAAATATTTATTATATTGGTTATATATTTAAATTTATATATTAGTTATAACTTCTTTATATACACTACCGCTCATTAATTTCAATATAACAGATTCGTTGATTTCTCTGCAAAGGATGAACATCATGATACGTGTTTTGCACAGAAATGAATGCACTTATTGTTATAAACATTTCACTTGCATGCATCGCATTTTTATATATATAATATATAAAAATGCAATACACATGCAAATGTTGAAAGTGTTTATAACAGCAAATGTATTTATTTCTGTACAAAACACATGTATCATGTTCATCGTTTACAGAGAAATTAACAAATATAGAGGTATTTTGAAATTAATGACCGGTAGTGTATATAAAGAAGTTAACTAATATATGTATAAATTTATTAGTTAAGAGATGGAGAGATGGGAGGAAGGAAGGGCAGGGAGAAGTGGAAGAGGAAGGAAAGTGGGAGATAGGAAAAAGAGATAAAGTAATGGAAGCGAAGGTAAGAGAGCTAGAAAGGTAGAGAGAGTTAGAAGAGAGAGACAGTAGGAGGAGTGTAGTAGTGAAAAGGGTTTAAGTAGAGGAGAGAAGGCGAAAGAAAGCAGTAGAGAAGCTATGGCTAGAGATGGGTGAGGAGGGAGGAATAAAGGAGGTAAAAGAGATAGAAAGAAAGACGGTATAGGAAAGAGTAGAAGAGAAGGAGACAGAAAAATGAAATGGAAAGGTAGTGAGGAGGGAGGAGAAACGATGGGAGGGGAGGACGGAGAGAAGAGGGAGGAGAAGGAGAGTAGGGAAGAAGAGAGAGTGATGAGGCTGAGGGAAGGGGGAAAGAAGTTAGAGAGAGTAGAGTGTGGAAAGTAAAAAGGAGTGAAAGAGATGAAAAAGAGGTTAAGGGGCAAGAAAGGAATGCAGGAGAAAGGAGGAGGGGAAGGAATAGGAAGGAAGCCTAAAGATAGGCTTTTGGAATGTAGCGGGAGTGAAGTTAAAACAGGAAGGGTTTGGGAAAGGATAAGAAAGTGGGATGTCGGTGGGTTGATGGAGACGTGGCTGGAACAGGAAAAATAGGAGAAGATTCAACTGTACAAGTTCTTATGTCATAATCTAATCTAAAGTTATGTATTTTACATTAAAAATCTGAATTTCATCTATTAATAATTAATAATTTATTAGTAATTTATTTGTTTAATAATCCTATGGTATTATAAATATCTTATTTAATGTTATAAAAAGCTAAAAAAAGAAATATTAATCTTGCTCAAAAATATTTCAGAGATGTACTTGGTTTTATTGTGGTTTCTCTTTCATTATTAATTTTAATTTGTATTGTCAGATCGAAATTGGTTTGAATTTAGATTGCGTAAATCAATAAATATTAATTAAATTTTATTTATACATATTGCATTTTTTGTAACTTAAAAAAATATGCATATTAGGAAAAATTGAAAAAATATATATACAATATGCTTATAATGGGCAATAAAATAAAATTATTATAAAAAATAATAATAACAAAATAATCATAACAATAAGAGAAATAGAACCGTTACTATATATAATCAAATTAGAATAAAATGCTATACGGTCCAAGCTTAGATTTTTGACAGCCTAATATTAATTTCTGTGCGTATGTATACATATATTTTTCCAACTTATTTAAGGTAAATGTCCCTATGGCCGACACCTATAAGGCCGACCCAACAAAAGAATGGCGTTGTCAAACGTGACAAAAATAAATTCGATAAAGAGTTTCATACTGGTGGATAGCTTCATCCATGCACTTCCCAAAAATCGTAGGCTCAATCCATTCCGTCAAGTATTTTTCTAGATAGAGAAGAATAAAGGCGCATTAGTGCGTGCCCCCTCTACCGACCAGCTGTGTCCAATTCCGACCGGGCATGTCCCCATTACCGATTACCTTTTTTCAGAGCATGCGAGGCGGAGGTTTCAAACAAAAAGTAAACATAAAAATGAACATAAATCAATGATAAACATGAAAAATACACATAAATCATGAAAAGGTATTTTATTTTAATTTGATGATATCAAACAATCAATATCAAAGAGGTTATCGCTGACTTGAACGATAAAGAGAATTCATAGATGATCAGATATGTAAAGAATAAGGAATATATATTGAACGGTTATATAATCGTAACATAATATCACGAAATGCTTTTCGTTCGTATACTATGCATATATTACATTTATTTATAACACACGATCTCCACAATACAATAGATATAATTAATGTATGCTATTTAATAGATATATCTTAAAAGTAGATGCATTGCAACCGGATGAATGTTACATAGTTATATTAGCTAACTTTCTTTACTTTGACATTTTTTTTTCTTTAACTGCTCTTGCCTTTTCCTCGCCTTTTCTTCTCGTTCCAAGCGTTTCCTTTCTTTTTCAGCTTCGATGATACTGACGTTTACGGGTACGGTACTGGGGACA